ATAGCGCATCTGTACTCCTTTTCAAGTAAATTCATGCGATTCGACTGCATTTCAACTTTTTTATATCAAGTATTATTGAGAGCCTTTTTCAAATGCTAGATGCTCATGTCCAAGTTTATTTGGGCAAGTCAGCCAGCTTTGGTCGGCCAACGTAAGGTAGATAACCGTCATGTGACGAGCCAAAGCTCCGATTTAGGTATCCGATGAGGCCAAGTTACGAATCCCTTCCACTCGCTTTCTCAAATGAAATGAAAGCTATGCCAATATCAATCTGCTAAGGTGCTCTTCGAAACCTGTCGCCTCTTCATAAAAACAGACTTGTTTTAATCGACATCAGTCCTACCAAAAGGTGTCAAATGAGAGACAAATGACTTGCGCCGCAGCCCAGTCTTTTATGAGGAGCGGTAATGATGCCAGAGCTGAGTCAACAAAGGATATCATGCATTACATGTTATCTTCAAGGCCGTTCATTTTTATGACTCAGATTTTTCCGGTTGTTAGGCCTTTATTTCCGTTATAACAGAGCATACTTTAGTTCTATTGTAGCTTCAAGCTTCTAGAAATAAGTAGGTAATTAATACCCCAAGAGTACTCCAGAGTAGACCTTTACATGTGTACATTAAATCTAACTATTGTGACAAGATCTACAGATTTCCATAATCTATATGACATTTTGTGCAGCTCCGGAAACTCAAAAATGCATCTTGCAAACAGCCACAAAAGTTGTAACCGACAAACGTGACTAAAAGTTATGCAGTCCTATCCGTTTTAACCTAACGCGAGGCCTTATGCACCTGACGAGCCAGAATTTGAATGGAATGTCGACAATGCACATTTGGCCTAACATTTGAGGCCTTTTGTCTCTCGCGCTCGAGGAATTATCACAGATTTTCACTCAACAATTATCACATAATGGCCTACTAATCCACCGCAGATTTAGAACACATAAGTCACTTGTTGCGTGCGCTGGTATGAGCCAGAGATTCCACTGATTTTCGCCACCCCAAGGCGAATATCTCCCCGGTGCCGTTTCCTGTCTCAATGGTCACATTTCAAGTCTTGCATACGTTGATATCCATTCAAAGTTCTCTCCAAGAATTGTCTTTAGACAGAATTTTTGAAAATAAAATGCTCTATTGCTGATACAGCAGGGGAGTAGGAGGGTTGTTGCTAACTTAATCTCCATTTATATCTCGACGCGACTCAGGAAACCGATTATGATAGTCGAAGAATCCTTAGCCAAAGTTATTTCACTGCGTTTTATGACAATGCGGCCTTTAGAATATTTGGATTGTGGGGAGATTTTCCGAATTGGTATTTTATTATTAGTTCTAGAGAAGACAGTAAAAGGTTACAAGCATCCTACGACTATATGCTTTAAACCGGTGATAGAAGGAGAAATAGAGCTTCAACCTAAGCTGATCCGTAAAGAATACCTGATTTTGCACCCAAATGCACTTCCCAAGGCCATTGAGAAGGAATGATCTCTCCCAGTCTCATGCGCTACAGCTTCTACCCCAACTGGGCCTCAGCAGAACCACAGATAGAATTTAAACAATTGGACTGATAAGTCAAAAGAAACCTTTGTACACCTTAGACCCTATTTAAATGGGCTACCCGGCATTCATGGTTTTCAGAGTAAAAAGTAGTCTGAACCAGGGCGTCTGTGCTTCTAATCCCTCCAGAGAGTTTTGGTGAGACCTGAGCCAGATCGAAGCTACACTCCATCAGGAAGTAGAGAACCATTTTGCGGTACACGTAACATGGAATTTCATTGTGTAATCACGATTCCTATTTTAATGTTTGTGAGGAAAATCTTTATCAACACCTTTCCGACATTCTTGAACAGCTTCGCCCTAATTAGCTGCATATCAGCAAATAAAATCAAATTTTACGTAAAGTCTAATAGAGCATATCGTTATTCTAGAGCACATAACACGAAGAAAGACTATATGAGATGTATTCACCCTACTTCGTTTATGGTAAAGAACGACTGGTAGTTGTCTTTTTCCCACAAACGCATAAGTGCGCCTTAAGTTTCCATGGAATTTAATATGGCCTTGTTTGGCAAAAGGTATTCTCATCCAGGGTGGACTTCAGTCTTGAATAACTTCTCTCAATTTAGAGTGATTAAAATAGCCCGATTTATTGACAATTATTTATCGTTTCTAACTAAGGGTAGCTAAGTTTCATTTTCAAGAGGCTATTCTATCATTAAAGCTGCATAGCTCTTTGACAAATATATAAAACTGCACTGAATTCACATACTTTGTCACATATGGTTGAACTTGTATTGTTTATATTAGCATTTTTACGTAACTTTGCCAACAGCTGGTCCCAGGGTCGCATCGCCTCGGGCCTCACGTACATTGGCGTGAAGGCCTATTCTGAGGAGAGCTCTTCACTGCAGGAAAAGCCGTATCCCTGCGATGCTCATACAGCCTGTGCTGTCAAGCCAGCCAACTGCAAGAGCCCACTTTGTGTGACTTCTCAAGTGCTTTCCTCCTCTTCTTTAGCATTATCCAGTCCTTCGAATCGGTCAAAAGAGGCCTGTGCTGAGAGTTTGAGCGAAGGTGTAAATAGTATCAGTGACAAACAGAAAGTGAAGGAGATGAAGGATCCTAAGCCAAAAGGGTCGACTCACCCAGAATCAGCATGGCTAAAGAAGATTCTTCTCGGCGCCAGCGCAGGCCAGTCATTAGTATTGCAGACCTTTGATGCCCTCTTGGGAGTCTGTCATGAATCAGGTAAATGTCGTTTACTGGTGCCGTAAAAGTCACTTGCTCACTTTATCAGACCATGCTTATCTGTGTCAGCAGATAGTTTCCACAAGGTGATATTCATAACTTTAGATTCTATTTTTTTATCTATTCGGAATGACGTGAGCTTTATGCTCTAAAAGAGTGAACCAAAAGGAAAAGTGTCAGTTTCAAAAGAGATTGATATACTATTGAGTGGGGCCCGATTCACACTACACTCAAGCAGAACTCATTATAATTTATTCGTTAGCATAAGTAGGGATCAACAGACATGGGCGAAGTCTCTCTTACGATTACACTTTCCATTATTATTATTGCTACATTTGATACTATCAACATACGTCATAAGCGAATGCGATGGCATTTAGAGGTCAAACGTATTAGGACGTTTCACCTAAAGATCATACCATCTAGCAAATTACATAATATTAATAACCAGTTGCCGAAATACGCACGATGAAGTTAAAAGTAAGTGAGGACGCACTCTTAGTTTACGAAAATAAAAGATTTTTCAAATGAGAATTTTTCACCCCATTCCGCTTAAGGTGATGAAGGACTGATAGTAGAATTTTCCTACATATGAGTAGAGCTGACGTTTCCATTGAATTTCACACATCCTTGCTTTCCCAACAGGGGTTCACATCCAGGCTGAAGTGGATTGCAGTTTCGACCTCGCATAGGTCCTATCAACACCCTCAATGGGAGTCGTACCATGGCAGTGCAGAGTGCAATCTCAACACTTTAACCACTCAGCCACATTGCCACGAGTGTCCTTGGGTCGTCGACACTCCCATCAGAGAATATGATATATTAGAAAATGCCTGGCTTTCCTAGAAACTAATATATGCCCTATGAATCAAGGGCCCTCGTGGCAATGCGGCGTAGTTGTTAACGTATCGAGATAATACGCTGCACATGTGAAACTCATATATCATATCATTGTGGGAAAATTCAACTACCCGTACTTCATCACCTCGAACGAAATATGGTGAACACATCTAATTCTTTCCCATGTCTCATTCGTGCTGAGTTTCTCCAATTACCAATTCTTTGGGGGCATATCAGGATCCCTGTGTACCCCATCAGGCGTGGGCATGTATGTATGCAATCGAAGAACTACGAGGAACTGCCTTAAATCACATTCTTCTATGAGGGATGTGGTTTATCATGGGATATCTGTTCTTTAGTCGCTTGCCTACGACCAGTGGAATTTTAAGTAGTTAAACATGTTTATGAATCAGAAAATCGTAAGCAAACATGTTCACTTACCTGAATATTGCGATCTAAAAAAGTCCAATCGAACCAGTGGCATGTAATACTCGCTTGCGATGACTTACGAATGAATTAAGGCATAAGTCTTTTTCCGACCCA